TAATTCTTTTTGTCTACATTGACAGAGAGCAAAAACATATGTGCCTTGTGCCGAGATAAACGAAACTAGTGTATTGCTTTGCAAATAATTATTTTTGCGATTACAAGATAACCTACTGCTTCTTGAAGCGAATGGTTTGTTTGCACAATTAATTATTTATTTGCATAAATAAAATTCATCTTATTTTTGTTCCAACATCTTCCATCTCTCAATAGGAATATTTACTCAATCTGTCCCATAATAAATATGTCAAATTTCTATTCCTCCAAAGACTTAATTTTTAAACATATTCACATGTACATTTTTGTATGTCTATGTAAAGCTTATATCTTGACAATATATTATATTTGTAGACGTTACTCTACATATTACAAATAGCAATAGCAATCCATTAAATATAATATTTTGGTTTTAAAAGGAAATAAAATTATTGTATTTGCAAATCTAGATGCTCCGTACGGTCAATAACCAAATTTTCACCATTTGTTCTATAACCGGTTACCCGGGTACCCCACGTGTAGCTTGGTAGAATTATAAGTCATTAGTACACTGAATTACATTTTTTTACATGTAAGCTGGCTATGCTGCATATGAAATAGCTATAGTGAAACAGTTTATAGTCCTCATAGAAATAATAATAGCGGAATACCTGGTCAAACGATATTTCGGTACCTAAGATGACTTTTTCCCAACGAAAAAGAAACGTGTTCATTTGGAATTTTACAAGTGTAGTGAATATATGTGCAAAATATACAGTGAAAGTGAAAAGAAAACATACAAAATTAATATTATTATTATAACAATCGTCTTAAACATAAATCAATGGTTGATTCATCGAATTTTGCACGGTAAGGCGAGATTATTTATTTTATTTAGCAGTAAATTATTGATTTTATGTTTTCAATATTAAAAAAAAAATTACAGAAGAGTCACTCGCTCTCGGAGAAATATAAATTTAGAGGTTACATCCGAAATAGAAAAAATCTGATGACTTCGTGTTGAATAGTAGAGACGATTAGTATTTTTCACCGATTGAGGCGGCAGCTTCAGATTGTCATGTTACAGGTAATTAACAGTTCTGTTTTCGCTGGTTTTCGTTGATAATTATAATGTATTTTGTGTTATATTAATTATATATTCTTTTGCATAATAGATAATGAAATTGAAGTCAATATTGAAGACGAAGAAAATGGAAATTAAGAAAGTGTAGTAGAAGCGTCGGGATCAGGAATGACAGCAAAAGATGGTACTCAGTGTGCTGCGACATCGCCAAGACAACATCAAGCTGGGAGGCGTAATATTGTGCGAGAAAGAAGTGGACTTAATAGGAACACGAACTTACTGTCAAATCGGGATACATTCAAATTATTTTATACACCAGAAATGGCTGATATCATTACACGCCATACTAATAAAAAGGCAATTTCAACATATGCAAATTATAATGAAAAAAATCCAGAGAAAAAACATTTGTAGTGGAAAAGTCTCGAGCTGCAGGAATTTTATGCATTTTTTTCTATTTTGATAACTTCTGACGCAAATAACTCAAATACTGACAATGCAAGAGAAATGTGGCAGCCATATTCATATCCATTGTATCGTGCAGCAATGAGCATCTGTCGCTTCTGGAATATTATTCGTTTTATTCGATTTGATGATGCTAATACTCGAGCTCAGCGCTTGGAAAGTGAAAAAGCTACTCCAATACGAGACATTTGGACAATGTTAAATTGTAATTTAGCCAAACATTATAAGCCAACGGAAAACCTGGCAATCGACAAGCAGCGTTATCCATACCGAGGTCTAACTAGATTTACTCAGTATATTCCGTCAAAACCAGCTAAATACGGAATTAAAGTATAGTGGATATGTGATGCTGATAATTTGTATCCACTTACTGGACAGCTCTACACTGGGAAATCAAGGTATGGTCGAGATAAAAACGTCGGTGAAAGAGTCGTCAAAGACTTATTGGCGCCGTATAAAGGATCCGACAGAAACATCACAATGGATAATTATTTCACTAGTCCTCGACTGGCAAAATTTTTACTCTCTTGGGACTTAACCATTGTTGGAACTTTGAAGAAAAATAAAGCTTATATTCCTCCAGAAATAGCTGTATCAAAAACGCGAGAAGATTCATCTAGTGTGTTTGGTTTTCACGAGAAAGTTACCCTATGTAGCTATGTGCCAAAAAAAAACAAAGTAGTACTTATGCTATCATCAATGTATCACAAGGCAAAAATTAGTGATGGTGCAAAGAAAAAAACAGAAATTATTGAGTTTTATAACTGGTCTAACGCTGGAGTAGACACGATGGATAAAATGCTTGGCAGATATACCACAAAAAGGTCTACCAAAAAATGGCCTCTGGCGTTTTTCTACAATATTCTCGACATTGCCTGCCTTGCAACATATATTTTGTATTATGAGAATAACAAAATGATTATTAAAAAATCGTATGAACGACGATTATGTACGAAATAATAATTATTAGAATAAATAAAAATATTTTTTTCTCTTGTTTACTATAATTGCAATTGTTTATAATTATTGTTTAAATAAAAAAATCACAAACTATATTGTCTATTATAATTTAAAAATCAAAATTATCTAAGTACTATAATAAACAGTCTTTCCAGGATGTATAAACATGTTATTTACAGGTATTAATCGTAGTGGGTACCCGGGTACCCGGTTATTGTACGGTGGGGATATCAAATTGGATAGTTAATAACTTTTATTAAATAATTGAATTGAAATTTTTTACGAAAAATGAGTGTAACATTACTTCAACTTTGGGGATCCGAATGGCCATACAATTTTTTAAAGTAGTAGTTAATATATTTTACCTGCAACTTGAAATGGATACCCGGGTACACGGTTATTGACCGAACGAAACAAAAACCTAGCCATAATTTTTTTATTGTAAATAACTGAATGTCTGATGTTTTTTTCAAATATATAATATTAAAACCATAGATAAGGAAAATTCAATTTCATTAACTTTATTCAAATTCATATATGGAAATTACATTGATGGCCTATCAACCACACCAACTATCCATAATTGGGTGGAACGCTATTATGGACTTTTGTGGTGTCCATATGTGTTAATAAATAAAGGTAATGCAATTTTTACTTTTGGAAGCATCTAGATGTGTGTAATACTTTGGTTTTCGTTGAAAACCAAAATTTATTTAATAGATTGCTACGGATATTTGAAATATTTTTAGCATCTACATATTCGTTTCCGCAAATGAATAGATTTGCTAAAAAATATTGATTTAGATTGTAAGAGTGTTCGTATGCAAGAGGTGCAAATTTATTTTACATAAAAGAAAAATTTATTCTGAGAATTTAGATAAAGAACGAGTGATAAAGAAAAATAGAGAACGATACGAATATATACTACACATAAATCTTACATTATCATTAGGATAACAAAATAATAAATTATTTGAAGCTTTTTCCAGTTCAATGCAAACATAATTATACTCGTATTTATTTTATAGTCAAAAATTGTAATGCTTTTTAGAATTTACTAATTCTTTAATAGTTTCTGAACTGAAACACTCATTGTTTTTGACAGAAATTTTACAAAATTTTAATACTGCAATTTAGGCACACTTACTCTAGTCAAAATTTGGATTCATAATTTTGAAATCAGTTTACGAAATGAGTTATTGATTAATATTTTGAATAAGATTTATTCAAAAATCGGAAAGTTTTATACCCTACTTTCAAAAAGTTTTGAAATTTTACAATGATTATAATTTAAAACAATATTGTGGTAACTGTGATATAATATATAAAATATAATAAGTAATGGCCAAATATAATATTTGGCATATTTTGATGTGATTCAAACTGTTTGGCTAATGAAGCATCTCGCAATTCTGATTCTACAAGTCATTTCACGAAACTTTGCTGAAAAAACCAAGCTTGGAAGTGAATTTCGAAACAACTAAATTTTTAATAAAGTTTTTACTTCATTGATTTAAATATCGATAAACTATCTTCTGAGTTGCGCTCGAAGCCACTGTTTTCGTGTAAAAATAATCTTGCATTTCATATACGTACAAAGTTTTCACTGCTCTTCAGAAATATTTTGATTTAAAACAATTTTCTATAACTAAATATTGATGTGAGACTCTAATGTTTAATATTCACTGATGACAAAAATATTATATTATCGACACTTTTTAGAACATTAAATGAAGATTATTCTATGAATTGTTAACTTTTTATTGGTTGTATCGTAGTAGAAGAATTTATCTAATTTATTAACTAATCCTCACACAAACTATATATATATATATATATATATATATATATATTATATATATATATATATCGTTATAATTCAATAGGCTTGAAATAATATTTTTATCACTCACGGAAATTTCTACTATATACTCCCATCAAAAATTTATTATTCCATTAAAGTTCTTTGAATTTTAATTGCCCTAGATGGCTTTAATAAGACGCAAGTTTAAAAAGTAATTAAAACTGAAATTGCTACGCTCGCGTTCACAAAGAGCTTTTTAACTATGACACTCGGACGTAATGGTTCGCATTATATTTGAAATTCATATAGAAGACTAATTATAAAATTAGGTTTTGACTTTTATAACTCCATTGTTAAGTAAAAACGACAATAATTCAAGTTTTATGTGAATCTGATATAAATTCACATTTTAATGCCCCTCTTGGATTGTTACATTTTTTAAGGTAAATTTAGTTCATCTGTAAATACCAAATTAAAGATTTTCAATTAAAATGATCAAATACATATTTATCTATATTTGAAGGATTTGTTAAATAATTATTATTGAAAAATATTTGATTGTCAAATGTTTGAGTTGGCGATTCTTTTGAATTTTATAGATGTTTATTTATGTTGGAACCAGCAACTTGAAATACTATGCAAAAGACAGCCCGTTTATTGTCAATAATACTTGCTTTTTCCGCCAAATACAACTTCAATACTACAACTAATGGATCAGGAAATAATACGTTCACTGAAAGGTAATTTTAGAAAGAACCTTGTTCTGAAAATGAATCATTGTGTTGATGATAATTAAGATCTTACTTTGAAAATGACGGTGCGAGGTGCAATTTTAATGGTCAATGATGTCTGAAATATATTGCAACGTAGTACCATTCGAAGTTGTTTTAGACATTCAGGATTGATTAAAAACCACGACCATTCACAATTTCAAATTTTAGAAAATCAATTTGATGTTGTGCCTTTATCTTTGTGGTCAAGTTACCGAAATGTAGATTCAGCAAAAGCACCAGAGATATGGGAAGAATATGTTGATATCGTTAACGCTCTTATCACATGTGAAGAACCTACCTATGAAAATATCGTACAGAATATTAATGCCATAGAACAATTTGGAAGTGAATAAAAGGAGGTAGTCGATGAAAAATTACCTACTGCAGAAGAGGCATTAAAAGATTTGTCTCCAGCAATATTGAAAATGAAAATTTAACAATCGCTGTCTTTTGTGCACAACAGTATAAGAGACTGTTTTTGCAATAGAATGAAGAAAAGAATTAAAACAAAAATTACAGATTTTTTACATTGAAAAATACATTTGCATGTGTATGTATATGTCAATGTTATTTTTAATTAAATTTAAATATATATCCTTTTTACTTTTACGTTTTTCATTATATTAACATAACGAAATAAATAACATATTAGGTTGTCAAATATCTCCCTTCCGCCTTTTTGTATTACAACAAGAGCAAAAAAGCGGACGGGAGATATTTGACAACCTAATATTAGCAAAGAAATAGTTTTTTTCAGGATGCTCAGTATGACGACCGCTTAGTATCTCATACTAAGCGGATTCTACTGTAAATTTGAGCAACTTTATAAGATATTATAAAAATATTGAAATAAAAATTGAATATATAAAAAATGTACGCACCCCAGTAAGCAATTTTCTAATTATGGCTAAGACAGGTTTATAGGCCAAATTTTCTCTGATATCAGTTATGTTGGAAACTGATCTTAGTAACTCGAGTTCTAATGATCATTAGAATGATCCACAATTTTTGTTACATAAGTACTGTTTATAACTTAAATTATTGCAACACAAATTATTTTCAAGTTATTGTGGATTGTAAAATTGTTAAATTGTCTAAAGATATAGTCCTTACCATCTTCAATTGCATTTGATGCATCTCGACAATATTGGACAATTTATTTCGAATTTTTTTTCTATAAGTCACTTTAGTTATTGCATTTTCGATTTTGAGTTTTAAAATTTTGATTTGATATGTGATAGTCATGTTAATTTACTGTTATATAATACTTCAATATATTAACTATTTTGATCAATGGTAGAAATACTGTTGGAAATTTCTTGTATTAAAAGCATATAAACCACCACCTTATATAAATCTTGGTTCAATGCATTCTTTTCATTTTTACTATAAAATGTGTAGAGTAGAGCAGGGTACAAAGGTCTAATTTGACAATTGGCAATTATATTGTAAAAATCTAATCAATTATATCCCAACAAATAACACATATCAAACAAACAACTATCTGACTATGTTCAGTAAAACTTCCAGCTAATTTATTATTGCAAATTTGTTTTTTTTGCTGTTATTCAAAAATTGGTCACCTGGCTCTTTTTAACCCAGATGGCAAAAAATGGGTCGACCAATGAGCAAGCAGATCCAATGTCTTATTTTTAATTTGAAAAAGATTTTACGAAATCATAGCTACATTATTCAATCAATGCAAAATATAAATTTTATGGGTTCAGTTTTTTTTCTGCTAATTTCGGCATAAATATTCATTAGTGGAGTTGGTATAAATATTCATTTAATTAATCTCTTGTAAATTTATTTTTTTAATATAATTTTTTTGTTTATTTACTATTTTTTTGTTTACATCTATGCCTCAGCATAAGTTCAGTTCGTCCACGTGTAATATTTTTAAAGGTTATATAAAATTAATATGAATATATAAAACTATATTATATATAACATAAAATGTTATATTAAAAATTAAGAATACAGCTTATGAAACAAATAAATATCGTGTACTTGAAAATTATATTGAGGTTTCGTAAACTAAACAACAATGCTCTCAACCAAAAAACTAACAATGGAAGATAATATTTTTGCTGTGGATTTTCAAACATTGCGGTTTATCACCTGATAGCAACGTCGTAAAAATCAAGATGATGTCTGTTTATACATTTTTCCTCTACTTTCAAATACTGTTGTTACGTTTTTTTTCTTTAATTGTTCTTGAAATATCGGTGGTAGACCCTTCTACTCGTGGACCTTTAAGCTGCGCTGCATTATCCCCTATGTGGCAAACAAGTTTCAAAATTTTTAAATTTGTTAGTGACAAGTTGTTTATTTTTCTGATGACTAAGGATGGTACAGAAATCGGATAAAGAATATTATTGCATTTACAAAACTTACAATTATATTTTTCAGTGCAAATTATTGTCAAGACAACAGAACCGTTTAGACTTATCCGCGCAGTCACACAATTATACAACCATTATAGTATGTCCCGGGTTTTACTTTATTTTTCCATTGTCAGTTGTTTTAGATGTGGAAATGTTCTGACGTCTTTTTCCTCGTTGCACTTCAGTAGTTCGGTTCATAGATTTATGAAGTTTAGCGCGCAGAGCATAGTGCACAAGTGCACATCGACAAAGGACGTTATACCCAATACTTCCGTTTTGCACGATGCACGGCTATCCTGGGGCGGTCATATAACTTTTATGTGTTCCACATACTATAGATGACTACAGTAAATCATTTCCACGTATAAATGTTGAAGTTTGGTCTAGAATTTAGGAAAGTAATGTTAAAAGTTTGCAGCCAACTGCAGCAATTGGTGCTATTAATTCATTTAATGTACTTCACAATCTTTAAATTTTATGATTTGATTAAAATTTATATTAGTTTTGCTCAAAGAAGCTCAAATATAAATGTTGATTGGAGTAAAAAAAAACTATATGTTTACAAACCTATAGAATGCACAAGTAACGGCTTTCGATATTCAAAATTAAAATAGCTGTGAACAAATATTGAACGTCAAAACATTTCGTTCTTTTAAATTTTGTTCTAAACATCTTGTGGGTTTAGATGTTGTTCTGAACTTTTTAAACTAATATTTTAAAATCTTAAATATTTACTTCAGCCTGTTGTGAAGCAGCAATGACCACGATTATTACTTGGAAATATAGATTGCAATATATTTCCAAGTGAAAATAGCCTTCACCCGGCATTGCTTCACGAATAAAAAATCTTCGCCCTATTACAGAAATTGTAATGATAATATATCAAACAGAGATGTGACAACTGTTTGGGTTGCCATTTGTCAAACAGACTAGTATTAAGTCAAATCAGCACAATAGCTTATATGTGTTTAAAGTTCAGATTGCTGTTTAAAAACAGCAACAAAAAATTGTATTTTATTTTAAATGTTTTATTGCTTTCAAAGTTTGCTCTTATATAGATGGGGTGATTATATCGTGTAGTAGACTGTCAAATACCGTGTTTTGGGGGCGTAGGCGGTTGTGACACTTGCCTAATTTTTTATTTGATTTTTTGGCTAATCCATTATATTTATGGACAGTATATTACAATTTGCTGATAAAAAAAAAGTGGCCCAACAACCGAAACATTTAAAGAATATTAAAAGATTTCAAATAGATTATTATATATATAAATACTGTAATTTTATATTTTGTATTTTATAGATAGAATATAAAAGTTTATAAGGGAAAGTCTTGTAACGCCGGACGGCACCTAACGTCGTACACTCTATTTAACACATATTATTTAAGCGAGTATAAATCTTTTTATTTCAAAATACAAGTGGAAGGGGCGCGGGGTGCACACTGATGCAGGATTACGCGCCAACACTCACCTGTGGCGCACACGGCCACAGCGGGAGCAATCCTTTGTTGTTTTAGACACAAAATCACAGCGTCACCTAAATATGGAAGTAATTCCAGTGTATTTATGCATTTATATTTGAGTGACATTCGAAGATAGAAGTAATACTTGATTGTTATCCGTAAAATGGTAGAATATTAACTATCATAGTAGAGATGGCTACATATGTGTTCAATGAAGGTTATTTTGAAATGTCCGGTGCCACTTTGTAAAATCATATTTTTTGTTACCAAAGTTTGATTGATAGTATTAATTATTTTTTAGCAAAGATTGCGTTTTTGTTAATTTAGTTTGATTTCTAACTTTGTTATCTAACATAAGTCATAATCTAATAAACATTTCGTAAAATATTTTTTGATTTATTCATAAATAACCTTAGGTGTCCGGCGCTCGGGGACTTTCCCCTAAATTCGTCAATGACATTTATATAAGATTTCATGAAAAGTAAATGAACAGAACTTAATGAAGCGGAGTTAGAATGAAGGATCTTGTCTCATATTTCAAAGAATTATGTAAACTGAATTGCAAAGTTAAAATTATTTATTTCATGTATATAAGTATGCTTTAGAGTTACAGCAAGAATTAAAATTAAAATCCAAAATATTTTCGATATACAAAAAAAAATTCTTTGGAATTTAAAAAAAGGATTTTTTTTTTTACTTTCCTCAAAAACAATCTTTTCGTCAATACAAGCAAAAGTTTTTTTGAATCATTCAACTCGGACGGTTTGTACTTTCAAAATTGCTATTTTGCTAAATTGCTCATTTAGCTCCGTATTTCCAAAAAAACTGGACCTGTCTTTGACAAAAACTAATTAGCACGTCTCCCTATCAGTAGGAATCGAATGTTTTTTGATATCGAATGTCCATACAAAACGCATACTACACACACACTCACATACCTATTTTTTAAGGTATGTCAAAATGTTCAGAAACCTTCGAAACATAAATATATGCAATAATTTAAAATTTTGATTTTTGGATGATTACAATAACTTACCCTATTTGAAGTTAATTATTAATGAGCGATAATTACCTACTGATTTCAGGTATCATTTTGCGTCCTGAAAATAAAGTTCAGTCTAAATTGCAGTCGACTGACCGTCAGTCAGTTGATGAAGTCAGTCACTGACGTTTGATTTATCATAGGTGATTGCCTCTAATAGTTCTAATTCCATTCCTAATGCCATCGATCAATTTAGCGCATTTACTACGGCGGCATTTGCGCCACAGACGTCAGGACCGACGGACAATGTGACATCAGACACGTGCGCTAAGAGGATTATTATCACAAGAAGTATCTCCGCGTTCTGCGATCACATCAAAGATCATCGCATGTCACATTAATCTACAAATGATCTCTAATCGCATTCGAGTCAATCGATCCGGTCTTGCTCAGATATTTTGTTCTCATGGTTCGTTTTAGTCCTGTTTTCTACCATATATTATCATGATATTATGATATT